AAACTTACAACAAAATCCACTGTTAAATTTGGCAGTTGTATTTTTTAAAAGTATATAGATTTAGTTCTAAGTTTTATCAGATTTATTTCATCTACCATCTTTTTAACTTGCTGCTTGATACTTTTCCAGCAATTTACTTCATAGCCTTGCAATCTGTGGATGTAATTTATTTTACTTTATCCCCTTCCATAAAACTTATTAAATTTTATTTTGTGATAAGACTCCTACTATATTTACTGTTCTTATTTCTTCTCCTTCAGTAACAACTACAAAAAGTAACAGCAAGTGAGCTTATAGGGCTCCTCTGAATTTTGGACATGTTTGAAATGTTTTATATTTTTCACAGCCTACAGTTAGAATGAGAAATAAAGATGTCCCAACAACAACAAAAAAGTATTTAGGGATTCTTCAATTTGTTTTGTACTGAATACCATTTTGAAACATAAGTAAAAGCCATTAGCTGTTTTTTTTGAAAGGGTGGTGGGAGGGAAAAGCATAAACTTAATACTAAAAATAAAAATGGCAAATTGATGTAAAAAGATTTCCCTACTATTCTGAGAGCTGTTAATATCCCAAACTATTGCTATATCTCCAGCTACAAAGTGGAAAAAAAATGCTTTTATCCAGTATTTTTCCTTTCTTTAAATTTTAGTTATTTATTTTGATAATTTACCCCCTTTTATTTTTCTTATATAGGTAAATGTGTAGCATTCTACAAGGCATGCTGGGTAAAATATACTATGCAAATGTGTACAGTGCTGCATGTTTTGTTCTCCCTCTGCTTTAGTGGCTTTAAAGAAAAAAAAAAAGTGTTGTTATTTTTGTGAACCAAAACATTTAACAAAGAAAATGCAGAGTGCATGCATATAGTATCCTAATTTCTATGGATTTGTTTTATGGAATTCAAATGTGTACAAACCAACTGCATTAATTTTTTTTTCTTTTATATAATAAATGAAAAAAACACTGAAACCAGCGTTATACCTCTCCTTTATATTATTCTAGAGATATACTGAAGATATACCGGAAATCAGTAGGTATATTCCTGTACCTTTTATCCAAAAACAAAGTCTAAACATTTACCCTCAAAACACAGGTTCAATTAAATGACTACTTCCTGAATACTCTGCTAGGTGTTACAAGTGATCGCAAATATTAGGAAAGAGCTTGTAGTTAAATACATACACATACACGCATGTGTGCATGAAATAGAATATATTACAATGTATGTGAAATAGGATTGAATACAATATAGAAAAATAAACTAGATAGACCGTATTGTTCACAAGAAATCCCTATATGATTATTTTAACAATTATCAGAAGTTTCCAAAGGTATTTTGTACCTGTAAGAATTCCATGGATGGCATACAGCTTATGACTTGACATTTCATGTGCTCAACGTCAAGTGTCCGTGCTATGACTTGATCCGTATTTGACTTTTCTCTCATTGCAGTGCACAAGAAGTTCAAAAGAAATGTGTACTATGTTGATTATTACCACTGTATTAGGATTATACAGTGATTTATTATAGCCAAATTACTTCACAATCATTATCACATTTGATCAATCTGACCCCCCCGATGGGAAATAGGCAGGGCATAGGTTATTAGACAACTAAAATGAAGATGCCAAAGCTCATCGTAGTCTTTCTCTCTAAAGTACTGTTATCTAAAAATACATACATTAAATGCTTTTAGGCTGATAGTCATCTGAAGCATACAAAACAAGGCCTGGAATACAGTAAATAGTGACTGAATGAATGGTACCTCGATTATTGGAGATGTACTATATAAGGCTACCCCAACTATCAAGGCATTTCAACCAACAATCTGCAAGTCCCAACTGGAAGAACTGCAGCTCACTGCAATCACTCCATCAACCTGGCCCTGAAGCCACCTTTTGCATCATCAGTGTATCTCCACTAATGAGATACGTTGTAGAGAGAAGCATCTTGTTTGTCCTGTCATACAACATGCAGATTAGCATAGTGGTTAGACTGTGGCCTCTAACCCTTGCCTGGGTTCAAAGCCTAGATCCAGCAGTAACTAGCTATGAGTTTGGGGCAATCACTTAACTTCCCTGTGCCTCTATCTATTTTGGTAGAGTGATTTTTCTTTTGGTTATGGGTCATGTTTTCATATTTCTTTGAATGCCCACTAATTTTTTTATTGGATCCAAGATATTGCAAATTTTCCACTGTGAATGACTTGATCTTGTCTTCTTGATCTGTAAAGAACTTTGGCCTTGTTTTGATAAACAACTGTGAGTTAGTTTGATCCTTTCAAGGTTTGTTTTTAAGCTCCTTTAGGACTGGTCTAGAGTAAGGCTTATCCTTTGGCTAGTTTAGCTCCTCTTTTAAGATCTCTGGGTTGTCTACTGAATGTCCTATATATTCTATGTGTTCTCTTCACACTGGCTGAAGGGAACTCAAATGATTCCTGGCCCTTTGTAAACTCTGATAATTACTTGTTTTACAGCTCCCCAGTACTTGTTTATTTCCTCTAGTCATTACTGGCTAGCCTCAGGGGGTTTCATACTGGTTTTATACTACACAGGTACAGATTGATACGCAGTCAAAGACTCAATGCCTCAACCTATGTAGGTTTCAGGAGCTTTTCTCTGGATAGCTTCCTTCTTTCAATCACTCTGGCTTTACAAATTCTAGTAGCCTTGATCTCTTGGAATGCTGATCTATGTCTTCATCTCCAGGGAATTGCCAGACTCTATTTGAGTTTCCACTCCCTCTGTAGCTGGCTGGAATTGCATCCAGGCAGAAAATCCACATAATAATAAAACTTGTCCCATTTGTGTCTCTTATCAGGGATCACAGTCCTTTGTTGGGTGTGGGCCGAAAACAGCTGTTTTCTATATTTTGTACAGTTTCCTATTTATTCGTGGTAGGATGGTAATTCCAGACCATCCCACTCTCTTTTACATGGAAGCAAAATTCTCTCCAATGGCATTTTGCATATCACTATAATCATGAATAAATGAGTCTTTAAAAAGTCTCATGAGTCTGCTTTTACAAATAGCTTCATACCACCCAACAAACATTCCCAATTACTTCTTTAGTAGTTCCAAATTTGTATTTCACCCATGGATCCTACAGTTGGACAAGATTGTATTAGGAAAATTTCTTCTCCCCCCCGCCCACACACCCCCACCCCCACCTTTTTTTTTTTTTGATACACTTAGAAGATAAACTGGGAGACCATCTCCCAACCTATAATGGAGGTTATAAAGTATGAAGCCCTAACTTCCCAAGTTAATATGGATATGACACCCATTTAATAAGTTGACAGAGATGTGTGGGGAGTCTGCAAAAAGTTTTAGAGCTGCCAAAAGCATTACCTACAGTGGGCAAGAATGGAAATTGTTTTTCTAAATAGCCTAGAGAGTACTTTCTTATTTTTTTAGGAATTTATTTATTTATTTTTGGCTGCGTTGGGTCTTCGTTGCTGCACGTGGGCTTTCTTTAGTTGCAGCGAGCGGGGGCTACTCTTCGTTGTGGTGCGTGGACTTCTTATCACAGTAGCTTCTCAATGCAGAGCATGGGCTCTAGGCGCGTGGGCTTCAGCAGTTGTGGCACGTGGGCTCAGTAGTTGTGGCTCACGGGCTCTAGAGCCCATGCTCAGTACTTGTGGCACACGGGCTTAGTTGCTCCGCAGCATGTGGGATCTTCCCGGACCAGTGCTCAAACCCGTGTCGCCTACATTGGCAGGTAGATTCTTAACCGCTGCGCCACCAGGGAAGTCCGAGAGTACTTTATTATGTAAATATAAACATAACAATCCATAAATTTAAATGGATTAATATAGTAATTTTCTTTCCCTTCATATGTTTCCTCTAAACTTTGTTTCATAATGATAAGTCCCGAAAGAAACCAAAGGACTTTTTCTTGAACAGTTGTTTAAAAAGCGACATGTTTCAGCCCTCAGTGCTGCCCTTTGTTTCACAGGTACAAGTTTGCTTACAGACAACTACGAAAAACTGTAGACTGTCTTGAGGTCTTACTTAAATGGGTTATTTTTCTATGTATTGAGATGAGATAGTGTATGACTAGTAGAAGTGGTGCAGAAAGGTGGAGTTTATTGCTGATTTTGTTTCATTTCATTTAGCTCTTGCACATGGCGGGCAGAGCGGTCTAAAATTCCTTTTACAGCTCCCGCACCTTTTTCTTTCCCTTTTTACCAAAGTTGAAGATAATAGAAGGGGTTGGAGCTGTTTCTGGTTTCTTTGTGGAAGGAAAGAAGTAACCAACCTCAGTTTGTTTTCCCACTCTTGCCTCTAACAAGAATAGAGACTAATTATCATTGTTATCAGATGATCTGGAATCGAAGAAAGACCTTAGAGACAAACCTTCTGCTGCTCAAACAGCTTTAGTGGCCACTAAAAATTTTTAAAGACGGGAGTGTACTGATCAAGATAGTTGTTTCGGGCAAGATTGATTTGAAAGTGAAGGGAGATTGGAGGGGGAACAGCCTTGAGGTGCAGGATGGCCATAAGGCGACCGCTTAGGTAAGGCCACCCTTCAGGGCGTCCAGGTCAAGAGATTTGAGAGATAGAGGTATTCAGCTTACCTCAGAGCCCCTGATGGAATGCCACGTCTTTGAAGGCCAGGACGTGGGGCTTTTGGTGTTCTGTGCATGCAGGGTTGGGGATGGGCACTGGGCACTCAGTGACATATTCACATTTTGGCTCTGTGTAAGAAATGCAGGAAAAAAACAAAACTCGGCGGGGACGCCAAAGCAAGCAGCCCAGAGCCACCTGCCCCAACCTGCAGGCCGCATTGCCTGGATCCCGTGGCTCAGTCCCGCCGCCTGAAGGTCGTCCGGCTTGGCACAGAAGCTAGGGCCAGGCGGGCGCCCTTTCCCAGACCCCGCCCCTCCGGCCGCGCGCCTGCGCCTTCCCGTGGCCGCCGCCCCGCCCCTCGCCTCCCCCGCCCGCCCGGTCGTCGCCGCCTCAGCTGCCCGAGAGCAGCTGGGGGAGGACGGTGGCCTGCGAGGCTCGCCGCAGACGACGCGGCGGCGATGTCCGCGAGTCAGGCGGGAGCCGCGGCGGCAGCGGGGGGTCCTCGCGCACGGCAGGGCGTCCTGGGCTTCGGCCTCCCTCCGGTTCCTAGGAAGCGGGCCGACGGCCAGCGCGGGAGCAGCAGCGGCAGAGACGGAGGCTCCGGCGCGTCTCTCTCCTCCCCTTGAGCCTGAGCCGGGGGAGGCCAGGCGGCGGGGGTGGCTGGAGGGGGGGTCCGCTGCCCGAGAATGGGAATTCTCTTCACCAGGATATGGAGACTGTTCAATCACCAGGGTGAGGGGCTCGGGCCGAGCGCGTACGGGTTAGGGAGAGCGTCAGCCCTGGCCGGGTGGGTGGGGGTCTCCGAATACTTCCGGAGTGTGGGCGGCGCGGTGGCGCGCTCTCTCTGCGCTGGGTGCGGGCTGCTGCGGCTGCGGGTCTTGGGGCTGTTCGCTCCCACTCCCAGCTCGGGAAACTCCCGACTCGCAGCCCTTTGTCTTAGGAGAGCTTCCTAAGAAATCCATGCCTCAAATACACCCATTGCTCCGATTTCGATTGGGAGTGGAGAGGGTTTCTTGCCTCACGTCCGACGCCCCTGAGTGGCCCCGCTTGGTCCACGTTTCAGTCCTTTTTCCTTCAGCAGTTGGGTTTGCACACCACTGAGAAATGCTGGGGTTCTCTGGGATGAAGGTTACAGGTTGTGGCCCCAGCCGCACCACTGAGCACCCGAGGATTGCAGAATGCGGTAAAACCTGAGGAATCGCTCGTGGCTTGACCAGTACATTCAGGTTTATGAGCCTGCCCTCCACCTCCACCCTGCCCTTCCCCGCTTTGGGGACATTCTTCTGCATCCTCAGTAGTGATGGTCCTCTCTCCTCTTGCCATGTTGATATCTGTGTTTAAGGTTAAGCTTAAGGTCAGCTTCCTACTCGTGTTGCTTATTTAGAGGTTTTGGGGGGCTGGATTAAAAAATGGTAAAGTGTTTCACCGAAAGCACTTAAAAATCGTATCATATGAAACATTTGTTAACTGTAGGTAACGACTAAGTTACCAGGTATGGAGTGTATTATAAAGAGATGCTTAAGTTCATCTAAACTCAAGCATTGCCTTGAAATGCATATCAGATTTATTGAAATTTGTTACAAAATAAGTGTAAAACTGGGGAAAGAAGATACAATTTTAACAAAAAGAGTCCATAGTCATTAAGATACACTATAGTTACTGGTGTACTTTTGTTCTTTTTAACTCAAGTAGGGTGATTCATCATCCTGGCTGTCAGTAACTTAGTTTGTGTTTTTCTCTTGTGTAAGCTGGTGGTGGTGTCACAGCCCAAAGTTTTCCAGTAAAGACTTAAATGAATGGTGGCATCTATTATGTACAAGCATCTCCGCCTCCTCCTTCGTTATCCAGCTGCTGCTGTAGGAAGGCGATTGGGAGGGAGCAGAACTGGAACTTGTGATCGATCTCTAGTGTATCTTTTAAAAATATAAAGATGATAGTGTCGATCACATGATAGTGAATGGGAGAGCAGTATTTCAAATGATTTTCAAATGATATGGAGAATTTTCATAAACTGGAGAAAGCCAGTTCTAATCTACACTGTCTCTGGCTAGCTGTTTCTGTTGAGAGAAGGGTGAGTGGGAGCCAGTCACTTAACCTCTCTGGGTCCGGGTCTCACCTAGAACAGCAGGGATCTTGACTGTGTGACTGTGGAGCCCACAAATCCTGAAAACTTAATCTGTAGGTCTTAAGAATTGAAACTTAACATTGCTGTAATACTGGTGGTGCTTATAGTAGATAAGATCTATTCTAGTTTTTAAATCCATAATTTTGTGTTATTTTTAGCAAAGCTAGTATTTCAACTCTGCTGTGAAATTTAGAAAGGCTTTGCTTGTTAACTGAGCTCTAGTCCTGCAAGAAAAATTAGGTATTTCCACTTTCTATTTTGAGTCAATGATAAAACTATTTGTCTCTGTAACTTAAGAATGAATTAGAACTTTGCCAACAGCTACTTGCCAGTAGTAAATAATGATGTGTGCTTTGTTACCACTAGCAATCGCTGAGTAGTGTTCTTATTACCTGTATTTTGTGGTAATTTTTGACTGGACACTTATTTCAGTGTTGGGAATTAATAGTAAGAGAAATTAATGAAGTTAAGTTCTAAAAATTTAGATGTCAATATTGTGAAAATGTGAATAAACTATTTCTCTCCTGTTAAATGATGTGGTTGTCTTATCAGCAGGGTCACTTTAAAAAGTATTCAGCATTAAATCTAATGTCAGGTACTTGTTGGTCTTTTTAGTTCTGTATTAAACTGGGTATGTATATGTGTGTTAGATGTATCTTGGATGCTTTATGTTACCTTCAGAAGATACAGAACACAGTCCTATGTTCTTTTCACATAAACTGTTGGAAGGAAGTTTTGGGGGATTACAGAATTTGCTATGCTGATGAAACAAACTGTAACATCTCTCTCTCTCTCTTTTTATTTTTATTTTTTTTTGAGCTCTCTTTAAAACAACTTTTTCAGTTTAAGCTTAAAATGTGAGTACACAGTGAAACCTAATTGCGTATTGCTCAAACTTGAAAAACCAGAGGTTCCATTTAGGTGATATTTAAATCAGTAGGGTACAAACTTTGTCCTAGATGCTGTGTATATATCATTTTTAAAAGTTTCTACAGTTCCTTGGAAGTAGTTATTCTTTTCTCCTGAAAAGAGGAAACTGAGGTACCAGTGGAATGATTTTCCTAGACAATGCAACTGGTAAATGCCAGAGTCAAAATACTGCAGAAATATGCTGCTGACACTGGTCTTAAAGAAGTGACTGGCATCATTTTTTTGTATGAAATCCCCCCCCACAAAGGTGTTTCTCAGTTACTAAACTGTAAGTGTTTACAACTTTAGGACTTTGAAGAGTTGCCATTAGTATCTTTTTTAGTATAGAAGGACTTATGATCAGTACTCGGTTTGTTTATTAAACATGTACTTTGAACACCTATTTTGTGCTGGGGGACTGTTCTAGATGATGGGGATAGACAAGGAACAAAACAAACAAGACCCCCTGCCTTTATGTGGGGAGACAGAAAATAAGCTAACTTCATGTTTATAGATAAAATAATAGCAGTTAATACTGACATGCAAGGTTAGGTTCTACGTCTTTCATGCAGTTGATTTAGTCTTAATTGATTTACTCCTAACCACAACCCTGTGAGGCAGATATTCTCCCCCGTTTTAAAGGGGCAAAGAAACATTAGGTACCTTGCTTCAGGCACTACAATTATAAGTGATAGACCTTTTAGATAGAGATTTTAACCAAGATAGTCTAGTGCCTGAGTTAGTGCTCTTGAAACAAAACAAAACAAAACTTCCTTTGTATAAGAAGGATTCGTGTTAGATAAAAGGAAGAACTTTCAGACACTACCATGAACTATGAAAGAAGTTGTGAAGTTTCCTCATGGATAGCCTTGTTTCATTCTTCCGATTGGTTCTTAGAAAAGGAATGATACGTTGTGAATGAGTTCTGGACAAGCTCCCTGTGCTGCAAGAGCTGGTGCTGGGAAAGCCACCTCTGCTTCTGTTGTTTTTTTCATTGTGTGGGAATTCAGAAGTGTAGAAGAGTACACATAGAAGCTGAGTAGCCAAAGGGGTGAACTGTGCCTGCTATTAAAAATTTTAGCTCCAAATTCACCCTTTTTGCATGCTCTGTGGATACAGAACTGGGTCCTTTAAGTACTTTTCTTTTGCCCTTTGGCACGGTGTTAGGCTCTGTCGGTAGAAGGCATTGGAGGGACCCTGAAGGAGGAGAGGGTTTTTCTTCCTGGATATCACGTGCTGCTCAGCAGGCTCTGTCCTGCTCATGCAGTGTGGACATCTTCTCCAGTGGCTGGCTCTTGCACTGTGTAGTGGTCAGCAGCAGCTTCTTCTAGCACCCACTTCGGTTGGTCTCCGAATGGAGGCCCTCCAGTGAAATACCTCCCAATGAACAGTTTTCCCCAGCATCCTAGAGGGAGGATTTCCAGAAAGATCCACTGTCAAGTTTGCTTAGCTACTTCTCAGACATTCAGTGAGCCCTGGCCCGGCCCTCAGCAAGGTCTGCATCTCAGTCCCGGGGAATTGGGGGAAGCTCTCAGCCCTAGAGGTAGCGAATGCTTCGTGTATTTGTCATTCCTTTAATCTTTAGAGTTACTTCTTGTTAGCCAATCCCTCATTACTCCAATCCTCTGTAGTAGTTATTTTCTTTAAATTAAACTTTGAAAGTTCAAATTGCTATGTGGTTTATGTTTCCTAATTGGATCTCTACTTTTGCCCTGTATAATTGTTGCTTTTCATTCAGCAAAGTTTTTTCCCCCTGAAACTTCACTACCATTGCTATAAATCGCAAGTTTATTTTCAAACTTTGTTTTTTATTGATGATACTGTTAGATTTTGCAAATTAAATTTTTAGTTATGTAGGGACTTGATCAGTTATCTCCCTTCTAACCTTTATGTCTTCCAAATCTGACTTATTTATTCATTCATAGTTTATTAAGCACAAGCTTTTTTCTAGGCTCTGTGTTAAGGCCTGAGAGAACTGTAGTAAACCTGACAGAAGTGGATTTTTTGCTCCATGTGAGACAGAATCCACGGGGCTTAGTGATAGTTTGGATATGAGGTGAGAATGAAGAATCAGGAGGACTCTCAGTTTATCTGCCTTAATATTTGTAGTATTTGTGTTTTCTGGCTTTGGTATGATTCACAGAGATAGAAGCCCTCCAGGATGACAGTGACATTTCTTTTTGCTTAATTTACTGACTGGTAGCTGGTAGGATATATATATATATATATATATATATATATATATATATATATATATATATATTTTTATTTTTTTTTTTTAACGTAGTAGTTAAAGCCATGGAGGGGGTACTAGTCTACCTAGGTTCAAATTCTGGCTTT